CCACAAACGAGTCGTGTCCGATTATGCGTTCAACGGGATCGGGAGTCACACATGTTATGATTGGTCATGATCTCTTTTGGCGTGAGCAAACGATCATTACTTACCACCGTATTTCCCCAGTGTACCGACACTATCCCTCTAATCCGGAATACCCTCTTCCGTTCCTTGAAAATTTCTAAAGATGAAAAGAACTTTGTTTTCCGTTTATGTTGTACGCAACACGAACTGTTCAAGTTCAGTTGGTGCCCAAGATATCTCGTCTCGGATAATGCCCAGAACTGAGTGAGCAAGACACGGTGTAAAACGTAAACCAATGAAGAAAGTCGTTGATTTATTTGCTGTAACTTGATGTCACCAAAGAAACAAAAGACGAGAAAATAAATTCTTACTTTTAAACCACGATCACCGATTGAGTATATGGAACAGTAACTTTGATCTGTTTATTTGATTGCCTATATGTCTGTCTGTCTCTATGTTTGTATGTCCATCTCAACGTGTAAGTGCATGTATGTGTCCGTCACACTAAATAATCAAACTCATGAAGTGCATCTTCGTGCCTATGGAACAGCAGTAAACATGGAAGTTGGATTTCTCACGATCCGGTACAGCTAGACAGCGGTTTGTACACACACAGACGCTCAAGCACATAAATACGTACATATGTAGTAAAACCCGCTTCCAACCTGGCTAGACCGCGAGTTGTTTTCAACACATGGTTCCGCGACAGCTACGCTTTTCAAACAGCATACCACAGGGCGTACCTCCATGACGTGGAGGCCGTTCAATATGTCGCCAGCGGATCTGGGTTCCTGTCTGGTGTCGGCATTCCGCCGAACACGGACTCCATCCTCCCCAAGCTGTCAACTGACAATCTTGCCTCGGACCCCACAAACTGCTGAGCTGTTTGACATCGGACGCACTCAGCGGATCCTCAGCGACGTCCTCACGTTGCGCATCATAACCAGATGCACCATCACGATAGTCCGTTGCTTTTGATGTGGCTGCCAGTGCTTTGGCCATCTGTTGTGATCGTTCCCATTCTTCTGGCATACAGTCCGCGATGCAGGTGGTGTAGTTGTCATATCGATTTCCGTTGCCACCACAACCCAGATAAACAAATTCGAAGCAACGTCTGGTACGTGGCGAATAGTACCTGAAGTGTGAAGGACCATAATAATAAATAGTAAGCCTTAAACTGGTGGTAAATAAAAACTACAGCCACAAACACTTGCGAGAAGAACCTAGAAAGATTAAGATTAGAAGCTGCCTTCAGATACGATAACCTTTATGATGTTTTCACTCGGGTCAGCTGAAACGGGAGAAGTGAAACAAATAGAGCAGCGCATTGCTTCGGTACGTAACAATTTTGACCTCACTCGCTTGTCCCCTCAGACTGCGCCTTCGTTAGTGTGTGTGTTCAAAATGCTGTAAAGCTTATTATTTCCTTTCTGTTGTAAAACCTGACACTCCCCGGTGTTAAGAAGCTGCCGGGGAACATAACCAATAGCACGGGGATACGAATATTAGGTACTATTCGATTTTGATCTATCCGTGTCTGTCTTGTTGACTGTTGGATGCTCAGTGCGAAAGATTGAATGCAGAACGAATACGCGGGCACCAGAATTTCTGAATGCCTGAGCAGTGTATGAAGAAAGAGTGTTCCTTGAAAAAAAGCCCATTTTGCTTTTTACAACGATACCATTGTAATGGGGAGACGACCACAGAAAGCTCGCATTCTATTTCACGAAATGCCACAATAAACTGAGTATGATCTACAGGATTTTGGGAAGGTTTATCACTGTGAATTCGCTGATTTGTCATCCGAAACTAACAGGCAAATGTGACTGGCCCGATGACCACTGCGGCGCACTTGGAACAACGAAGATGAGAGCAAAATCGATGCAGAACGTGACAGTGGTAGTCACGCAAAACCTTAAGGATGTCTTACTGACAGACTTGCCTTCCCCGAGCTAGTAATAGGCATATAAGAGCCTTGTGAACAAGGAAAGTTCGCCCGTGAGAAAAGCAGCACTGCGCAACAGTGTGCATGGTCAAACTTCGCGTGAGACTAGTCAAACTATGAGGCTTCATAAAAATAGCCAGTCATTAACCCTGAAAAATGGAGTTGTTCTGAGGAAACATCCATTATAATTTTTATTGAGAATAATTCGTGGTTTATTAATTGGTTGATCGTAAAATGCGAATTCTAGATGCGAATCGGGGAACCGAGAAGCGGTTTCAACTTTTAGATCATCATCCTACATGACATAGTGATTGACTTCCCTACATACCACACCTTTTTTATCTAAAGATCTAATTTTGGAACATTTTATGAAGTTCAGAGTATCAAGTTTGGATTAGCCCACTCAATTGTTCAGAGGCACCAGGCACTCTTGATGGTCTTCGGAGATGGTCTTGGGAGATCGTTAATTCCCCAAGAGACAATGCATTCAAATGCGATGGAAATGTTTGTGATAACCAACAAAGAGCACTGGACAGCTGTTTCATTCTGTTTGGGACTCGTCAGCAGTGCTTACTTTTTGTGTCCCTGTCAGGACTCGATCCGTGATCAGTCGGGTCGGGACTTCAAACCCTCACCCCTGAGCTGCATGGCCGACGGTCATCACCTTGTGCGAATGGTTCAATGAAAGTTTAGAGTAGCAAGCTTGGATTAGCCCACTCGATTGTTCAGGGGCACCAGGCACACGGACACAAAAAGTACGCACTGCTGACGAGTCCCAAACAGGACGAGACCGTTGTCTAGTGCTCTTTGTCGGTTATCACAAACATTTCCATCGCATTTTATAAAGTCCTTCATTGATCACATCGTAAAGTGGACCGCTGTTTTCCACTTCCAACTTGTGCGGTTTATTACGAATGGAAACTCAAAGTAATCTTACCATGTCATTAAGAACCGGATATTCGAAATTGGATTATAGATGATGCCATCATACGCACCGCTTCTCAAATCAAAACCATATTGCCATGAAATGCCAACACTAATTGATACAGACTGACAAAGATTTGATACCACCGGTATTTGGTGAGTCGCAGCAAAGTTGGGTGACCTCAATGTTCGCTGGTCATCAGTAAAGCGAGCTAAATTGTCCTGCATGTCAGCTGCGCTTTCCTATCGGTTAGATGAACGAAACCGAGACATATAGTCTACTGTACGAGGACTACTTGAGTATAGGATTGAACGATACGAAACATTGTCTCTTTCGTAGTATATTTGGGTAAGGAATAAATGAAACGTGGTGAGAACAATTTACACTTTATACTCCGTCATGAACCAAACAGTCAAAACGTAAACGGGCTGGCTCGGACGCACTGTCTCGCTCTCTCTAGATCTGGTCCGGTTTCATTTGGCTGAGGGTTGTGGACCACGGCCCACACAAGCATAACACAGGTCTGCTAATCATCGGAAGCACGCAATTATGTTACTACTCGTATACAATTAATTTAATCAGAGAAAGCAGTCAGTGAATTCGTCTCATCATCTATCTGTGTCCACTGATGATCTTCGTGCCGTTGGCCTATTGGTTACAGTGAGAGAACTACTGAGCAGCATGAATGCAGCAATAGTTTTATGCTTCTGTTTCTCCTTCAAGGTTTTCGCGCACCTGAAACCGCTAGGATGTCCATCATGCAGCACATCGCATAGATTGTGATCGGACGGTCACATGTGATCCGGATTGTGGGCTAAACGCACGCACGCACGCTAACGCACAACATTTTAACACTTCCGGGACTAATAACAGGTACGTAACATCAGACGTGCCAGTCTTACGATCCCGTCCATTTGATCAACCAATCACGTGTGCTTGAGGTGGCAGTGACACTGAATCATCCGACGGTTCATCACGTGTCAGCTGATCAATGCGTATTTATGGACCGCCTGAGGTCACGTAAATGCTTGAGGTGATTCAAATTGTTACGCACACTGAAAATGCAGAACGGAAGGGGAGCGATCGCCCGTTGGCCGTTTGTGATTCATCGTGTATGGATTGTGTGTGATATGCTAGCGGTTTTCGAAACTTAGATACGAAAAATGGATCGAGCGTTGATTGAGAGAAACTCACCACCTCACTGATGGTTGGGTCACTCCATCGTCACAGGAAACACCTGTATCCATTTGCTCGGTGCAATGCTTTGCCGGTTTCATGTCCTTTTTTCGACCACCGTTCTCCTCGTCCGACGCCAGCTGTGATGTTTGATATTGTAACAGAGCCATTCTTTCCCGACGCCAGCCGGGCAAGCTTTCCACTGCCTTCAAACAAGTTCTCTCACAAAGTTCCTTGGTCGCAAATCGATTCCGTCCACCTTTACAGCCCAGGTAGTCGAAAGGCATACAGGCGTGATCGACGGCACTGTAGTGATAAACCCGGACCTTCTTACCGCATGGGATACCATCTTTACGACCTTCACCACAGATAGTGACCGGATCGCACTCGTTATCGGTCGGTCCGCATTGACGTTCTTCGAAGACCATGCCCATGGCTCGCTCATCCGGAAGTTTGAACAAATGCACACATTCTGTACGCTCAGCGGGTCGAGCCAAATAGCGTCGTCGTGTTTGTAACCCGTTCCGATTTGCACACGTGGCGTTGCATGGGGTCCATTCGGTCCACGGAAGCAGACTGCATGGTGAGCTGAAGTCACAGGTTCGTTTACGGCCTTCACAAGGCTGTGAGGGTGACACATGGGTGGGGAGTACAGAAATAACCAGTGGTGAGAGAGAGCTGTTGCGCACAGCAAACAGGGCGATAGTCTGTATCGAAATTTACTGAACATTCCGGAAATAGTATGTCGTATTCAGGCGGATAACCTGCATTCAGCTTATCGTGGTTTCTCAGAAGACCACATCAGCTTCGTTCAATGTCCCTTATCTTATCCCGTAACTACCCCGGGAGGAAAACCCCTGATCCATTTCGAATATATTCGTTGATTACTGGTGAAATTTTTTTCCTCATCATTTGAATTGTAAGTTGTGTCTTCATTGCCCGTTTACACATGACAAAATCCGCTTTGGGGCGGTAGTCAATCAATAACCGGAGGGATTATTATCATCGTATCACAGTTTACGTTTCCATGTGGATTTCGTAATTGTCACACCTCAATTACTTTGTGATTCCCGTTACATTAGTTGGATGGGTATCCCAAAGTGAAAAGACCATGCCCCTCCACTCTCCCGCAAGTAATCTCATAATTCAACCATGCAAAAACGTGGGGTTCACAATTTTTCAAAAATTATTTGAGAGAAATGTTTGTTCCAATGAGCTTCAGTGTGGCGGGAGAAGCAGTTAAAAACGAAGGCTCAAGTCTTTACATTCCATTCGATTCCTGCTTTCGAATGCCCTTTCGTCACCTAACAGTTTGTTCAAATGTAACACAGCGATTGAGGCGGCGACCGGGGGGAGGGGGAGCAATGTTCCATCTAACATACGACGATGATACTATGGCAGCCAACGTTTTCCTATCACACTTGTCCACCTCAGTGCAATAGAAAATACTTTGACATTTAAGGTGATCACTAGTGGCGGGGGAAATTCTGTTTTGGAGTTGTTCTTTGTACTCAACGTGTGCATTGCCTTAATCCTTTCTTCACTTGTGCAACATTGATGTGGG